CTCTCTCTCTCTCTCTCTCTCTCTCTCTCTCTCTCTCTCTCTCTCTCTCTCTCCTGCAACTTGGGCTGATCTCTCCTTCTTTTTTTCTTTTCTTCTTCCTTCTCTTCTCTCTCTCTCTCTCTCTCTCTGTAGAAACTGTTCGATTCTGTGACTGCGTTGCTTCCGGGTAACCGTAGAATTATGCATGCATGAAGTAGTTTGTATGATCATTAATATCTATGGCGATGGATATGTAGAGTGGCAGTTATGGCAATGAATGGGAAATGAGACACTGTACTAATCTCTTGGATATAGAGAGATAGAGAAATGGTTGATAATACCTATAGACCGGAAGCAACGTGTTGGGCTTTGAGGCATTCTTTGAGATATATACGTATTATATTATATGTATACACCGATGCTTAAATCCGTATTAATCGCTTGCTCGAAGGGTTGGCGTGTGCACGCTAATAATCACGTGAGTATCATTGCCTGCTCTACACGTGTAGAGTTGCAGGAGGTCGTGCGTGCGTATAGAAAAGGTGTGCGTTGCATCGATCGTGTGTGATCTCGGTTTTTATTCCCCCCCTTCCTCCCTCGCCCCCTCTTTTTTTTCGTATTTGTACCGCGTTTCCTCGGGATTAACGGAAAACCGAGGCTTCTTTTTCAGGGTATATATATATATATATGTATTAACTGGTTTTCTCTGCTTTCCTCTTCTTGGGTTGACCTAGCGGTGAATAACGTGTGTGTTGTACAATTTCCTCGTAAATCCGGCTCATCTCTCTCTCTCTCTCTCTCTCTCTCTCTCTTTTTTGAGAGAGAGAGAAAGAGAGCGTGTTCTGAACGAGTACGAACGACTTTTTCAACAGAAGTAAATTCTACTCTAAGATCGATGAAAGAGAATCGAGATACGGAAATATTTTCTTGCTAATTTTTTCGTTTCGTAAGAAGAGATTATCGAACGAGAAAGATATTTGTTTTACGCGTTTAAATGATGAAATTCGCAAACATATACAATATCGTGAAATACTTGGCATCCAATTAAAATACTTTCAGACATCTCGTAAACCTAGGAACGAACATTACCGTTCGAAACGTGTTTGGAACCGTTAGCTCTAGAAAACAGCTGTTAGCAACTGTTCAACGAGTCGTGCTCGTTCAGAATCGCAAATGGCGATGAATTACATGGCGGAGGATAAGGGTTAGAGCGGTTGTTGAGCAAGAAGCAAAGAATTGGCGGGGTGTGAGAGATCGAGAGAAAGAGAGTCGAGGGTTTTCAGGTACTACGGGATTAGGAGTAGGCGTGGGCCTCGGAGTGCCGGCGGCTCTTCCACCCCCGGGAGTTGGGACGACGATTATGACGACGATGACTACCATGACTACCATGACGTCGATGACGACCATGCGTCCAGGAATCGGTAGCGCGCAGTGCCGTCAACCGCCCGCTTACAAAGTTGCGGCCCAGATGGCAAGGTTGCACAGGCTTGGCCGTGCCCACAGCCACGAGGGTGTTACCTACAGGAACGACCATGAAGATGGTACAAATGAAAAAAACAATCGCTAAAATACAATTCTAAAATCTCTACTCAAGTTTTTTTCTCTAGACGTGTATATACACTTTTTTTTTCTTCTCTCTCTCCTCGAATTTGATATATAGACATGTATTTTTTTTTTTTTTTTCTTCTCTCTCGTCCTCGAGGCTTGCGCTCCCCACCACTACCGATAATAATGGTGATGGGAGTGATACCTGATGGATGGAGTAAATTGATAGTTTTAATCGGGTTAGACGAAGAAACGTATAAATATATTGTTTGGAATATATTGTTTATAGATTAATTTTAAATTAGAGAGGAGTTTTTATTTTTTAGATTAGGAGTTTGATTTTTCAAATTCTATTGGTATGTGGTATGAGTATTATAGTATTGATTATTACGACAGGGGTATGCATAGCTTCTTCGTTAAGATTCAATTAGGATGCATAGGAATGAATAAGTTGGTGTTTATGCAATGGATGGTGAGGATAGAGAGTGAGTTGAATAGTAATTAATCAACGTTTTCTTCGGAGGAATGAGAAAATTTAGTAAATACTTGTACATACGAAGGACTCTGCTCCTTATAAAGATATTAAGTGTGTATATATATATATATTTTCTTTTAAACGAGTAAGTAATTTAACAAATTATACTTTATTCATATTATTTACTCCCAAGTAAGAAAATTATTTAAAATACTTAGTTAATAGTTTATTTTTTATCATTTAGATAGATTGATTGAATTAGAATGAATTATTAGTGAAATTGCAATTATTATTTAAGATACTTTTAAATACATCAAAGAAATCAAACTAGTCAGTATGTTATCGATAAATGCATCAGTCCCATCACTATCTATTGATGGATCATTAGTGCACGGAGAAAAATGTTAATTACAGCTGATTTTTTCTATCGTTCCGCGCGTTTTCGTTTATTTTTCTTTCAAATGTGCGTATCGATGTGTGCATTGATCTTTCATTTCGTGCTTCGCTGCATCGAATCGAATCGTAATTTAAAATCGTGTGTCATGATTGATAATATGTATCGGCACTGGTTTGAAAATTCATGCCAATAATTTTTGAAAATACTGAATTCGTTCGATAACATTTTTCACCGTGAAGTTGATCGAGGACGAATGTCGTGACGAAGTCTCACGATGAACTCGATTACTTCTTCTCGATCTCGATCACGGATCGTGAATAGGATAGAAAACTCCAGTTTCTCCAACCTTATCGTGTAAAAATTATCAAACGAAACACGTTTTGCGAAAATTTTCCTTCCTTCAATGGATGACCCAATGAGACGCTCACGCCGATCTCTTTCTACCTTTAAGACACTTCGATCGAGTACAATGTATGTATGGAAATCCACACACACAAATCGATCGACGATTCCGGAGAAGAATCGTCTTTGTTTGTTGTTCGATGTACTACATGTTTTTCATATTTATCTCCTCGACGATCGCAGCATACTGTAAATAACGACTCATATTGTTCCACTTGTACATTTTTAATGCAAATTGCCTGTGTAACCATGCATTATCTGTGTGCATAACTCAAACTTGGTATATTCCTTCTCATTATATATTATATATTATTTGTATCTCGATATATTTCAATTTTGATTTCTCATTTTCATTTTTATTTTCTATTTTTTTTTTTTTATTCCTTCTTCTTCTTTTTTTTTTTTCTTTTAGCATCATCCAGCGCGTTTTCACTGTGTTTATGTACAAATAAATACGCATCCTTGGCCCAGGGATTTGTTGCATCTCGAACGAATTATAAATTGTATCGATGTACCTCTCGTAATGGCACTCGCTGTTTTATGGCTTGTTACGACCGAAATCGTCCGATTCCCGAAGGATTGCAATTTTATGTTTCACATTTGCATATTGTATAGTCTCGTGTACCATCGTGTCGAGGCATGTCGAGCTTGCTTGCGTTTTCAATTTCTTTTTTTTTTTTTTTTTTTTACTCTCTATTTGCACGTCATGTCACTCCACGATCCTTTTTTATTCGATTTGATTTTCATGAATATATATATACACGAGGGAGGGATTTAAAAGTAATTGAAATTCGAATAAAGCGCAACACAGGATGTAATCGAGCTTTAAACCAATCGTCACATTTTTGCGAAATTATTTTTTATTGGCCATCATCAAAAATTTACTCCGCAAAACACAGAATTTACGGAACAATATTACACACACAGAGTTAAGTTATAATAGAAATCACGTATCGTATCTGTATGCTTCGTTTAAATTTCAATTATATTTAAATCTCTCCTCGAATAAATAGTTTGTTACAGATTTATTTACAGATAGTTTTTCTACGACAATTTGATAGATGTAATTCTTTGCTTCTCTTCAAATAAGAACGTCTACTTTGGCGAATATAATTTTTACTTCTGATTCCTTGGAATATATTTTGATTCTTTCTCTCTGAGACAGTTTTCGTAGTGCTAGTTGCTACTGAAATTGTAGTTTCTGTACAAAATCTATGTAAGTATGCATTGATAGATTTCACGCATTTAGATGATACATTTAATTAGAAAAATAGATATAGAAATGTACTTTACGTAATATAATTCATTCTACAGCTTTAATTCGCAATATTCACATTCTTTAGAAGAAAAAAAACATCCAAAGTTCAGAAATTACAATTTCACGCGATACAATTTTCAAATAATTACCCTCTTTCTATTTCTAATCTTATTTTTTTCTTTTTTTTTTAATCAGAATTACACTACAGAAAAATAAAATAACAAGTTAGAAATCAAACATATCAGCAGGTATCACCATTGAAAACGTATAAAAAATTTAAAGATTCAGCCAAGGTAGACAATTCCAGAATAAGAAAAATAAAAGAATCACCGTTAATCCCAACCTTACGATTTTTCAGACGACGAAGAATCGGCCCAAGTATCAGCAGTTTAAAACGATTGACGAGACATGAGAGGACTCATCCTTATTCTTCTTTTCCCACGACCAAGGGGAACGTGTTCGTCGTGTTAGACGATTCCCTTATCGAAAGGAATGGAAAACGATTCGCGAGGCGTGCAACCCTCTTTCAATCGGGTTCTCGTACGAGGCAAAAACTGTGCCGAGGAATTCGGTTCGAAGACCAACGGGGTACGCACACGAAATACAAAAATAATCGACACACGCACAGTGCTTTTTTCACAATGCATCCAGAGAGTTCACGATTGTCAGGCCGGTTCCAAAACGAACTCTTTTGGAGAAGAACGCGTTTCGAGGAAAGAAGCGCTCGTCTTCCAGAACTAATAATAAAGGAAAGAAGAAGAGGAAAAGAAAAAAGGGTGGAAACGAAGAGAAGAGAAGAGAAGTTTAGAATCTCGAGCTACGCCCGTTAGAATTCTACGAGGGCACCAAACAAAGAGTATGTAATATCTTATGGTGAACCGGAAGGAAAGCAAAGACGAGAAAAGACATATAGGATGTAATATTTGTATCGGACTGGATAAGAATGCTGGTCCCCGATACAAAGGTGCCACGTCGAGTTTCACGTAGCGGCTACTCAGAGAGAGAAAGAGAGACTAGGCGCGAGAAATTACGGTCATAAGTAATAATTCTCTATAAATGTGTAATAAATCGAGTCCAAAGATGTTATATATACCGCGTAATAATCGTCGGAGGGAGTACGAATGACAGCGTGTCCTGTATTATATTACTTTTTAGGCTAACCCCCGAACGCCCAGAGTAGCTTAAGTATACGTTTTTTTGATGTACATAGCGTGTAGCGTTTAATGTAGCGTATAATATGAGCAAGAGTGATGTGTGTCTTTATATAAGTGCGTATGCGAAGACCAGAGATAATAGGAAATTTTATGTTAAGCCGAATGTATATTCAAGTTCTTTTATATTTTTCTTTTAATTTTCTCCTTCGATACACATTTCGTCTCTACGAAAACTCGAATTTTTTTTTTTTTTTTTTTTAATATTTCAATCATCACAATTCGACCTATGTGTTTTTATCTGATTTATTATTATTTTATTTTATTTTATTTTATTTTTTTTTTTTAAGAATTATTCACTAATGTTTTTAAATAATTTTTTCTTTTTCTTTTCGCTTATTAATATATGTGAATATTAATTTACATGTCCCAAAAGCATAAAAATTTATCGTATCGATGGCGTTTAAGGAAGACCCAATTTTACGGCTTCGATGTATGTGTATGTGGAATTTTATCGTTGACGCGATTATAAGTACAAAGTATTTTTCGAGGGACTATAATGAGAAAAACGAACGACGAGTCATTTGCAAAAGAGCGTATTGTAAGAAGAATGTATATCGTTCCTGGGCTTTGGAAATTCTTTTTTTTTTTTTTCTTTTTTTTTCCTTTTAAGTTCTATCCATGATATACGAGCGAACTTATATCGCTCGTGGTATTTTAATCAGCCTCTAATATAATATCCAACGCGAGTGTACGTTAGATAGGAACGAGAGAAAGAGATCGAACGAGAGAAGAATCGATCGTCGGTAAAATTAATATTAAAAGTCGTGCGTTTAATAAAAGCGTTTAAATAAAAGAGTGGGAGAGAGAGAGAGAGAGTATGCGTGCGCGTTCGAACGAATGAAAGAAAGAAAGAAATAGAGGAAATAAATATAGCAACAAGGTATTAAACGTTTCAGGAAGGAAATTGAGAGGATATAATAATCGATATGCATCGCGTATGCTCAACTTATTTTTACCGAACAACTAATTAATTAATTAATTAATTATTAATCGAAAACGAATTTTAGATCTGCTGTAACTTATATTTCTCGACCTTCTCGAATTCGATCTATCGTTATCGAAGAATAATATTAATTGAGCACCGAAACGCATTTGTCGGTAACTAATATTTTCCGAAATTTTATCAGTATCACGGTACTTTTAGTTTTATATAAAAAAAATAATATATATATATATATATTATAAATATATAAATATATAAATATAATATCTATTATATGTATAATCCGCGTCGTGCGAGAAAAGCGTGTTAAACGAAAGAGAACGAGCAGACCGACTCTTTCTAGAAGCCTCTGTCCTAGAAGAAAGACGAGACAAGATTCTAAAAAGACGAGAAGACCGCAAAAAAAATTAATATCGACTCGTTTCATCGACGGGCCGCGACGAAATTATCAACAATAATTCGACAAGAAAACTAAAATATATTCAAAGGTGTAAAAGATGCGATTTGTATGAACAGAATTGTACGAATTGAAAATTCATTTCATTCCTTCTTATAATTCGAAAATATCGAAGATGAAGAAAAAAATAAGGAACGCGGTTCGTTAGGACAGAAAAGGCCTAACCTCAAAGGCATCTCCTTTCGCGACGAACGATCTGCCAAAATGCGCGTGGAAAACAAGCAGCAGTCTCGAGGATTAACACGGTGCTTCCTCCTTCTATCGTATCCTAGCTTGAAGCGCTCGAAGTTCTTAAAAAAAAAAAAAAAAATTTTAAAAGAAAAGAAGTCTCGAGAAAATTCTTGACAAAATTTTTTTTTAAGATTTTCGAGCGTTATTCTCGTATAATTATGTCGACATTCCACGTTGTTGCGACTCGTCGTGAATCGTGCCCCGACACAAATGCTTCCCGAATGCGACAGACTGTTCTGAAATATGTTTAAATATTAATCACATCTATCCTGGAAAATTTAAAAGACACGGATAAACCGTCGAACACCGTGCTGATCCTTGCCACGTTCCACGGATCCGCGCGGAAAGATCGAGCCGGATCGAGATCGGAACGCTCGATTTTCGCGCGGATCCTGCGGCAATGGCGACTATTTACTGCATATTCATATTAATATCTCTCTGTACATATCCTTTAATGACTTTTAAATACTATTAATTAATCTCGAACGTTCTCGAAGGAAGTGTTTGGTAAAATAATTCAGCGAGCGTTGTTGTCCAGCAGCATTTAAAATATCGATCGAGAGAAAAAGATTTTTCGAGCGTAGAAAGAAGAAACGAACGAAACAGGCAGGAAACCGATGCTATTTCCGTTCTGTTTTTCTTTTTTATTCGAAAGTATTGTAAGATCGATCACCCGTTATCTCGTTTGCGTTTTTTTTTCTTTTCCAAAACATTTCTGAACGATCTTCCTGTTTTTTTTTTTTTTTCCCTCCCCTCTCTCTGCACCTTTGGCGGTTCAAGGATGCATGGTCCATTCCAGGGAGCATTTACGTCTTACCGATTTTCGCGATTACTTGATTCTGTTTATTTTTAAGAATTTTTCATAAAAGATCTTTCAAAGAGATCGAACGTTACACCAGTTTTACATTTTCTCGCGAAAATTCAATTGTGCTAGTCGACGCGAAATTAAAATATTAACTAATATTTACTAATAATATTAACTAATGTAATTTTATCGTAATTTCAAGCGAACCTCTAAATATTGAACTTCTTCGTGGTTTGTAAAATGTAAACTAGGTGAACGAAAAAAAAAAANAAAAAAAATTCTCGAAAACGAGCGGAATAATCGAAGAAGAACGGTAAACCATGATTATCAAATTCGACTAGTCTTGAATTGCCGAAGCTCGATCCTTCCTTTCCCCCTTAATTATTTCGAACGAAACGATCCACCTTGTCGTAGAGTTTGTACAATGCGAGCATGTGAGTATGTTTATTGAGAAAAAGATATATATACATACATACATACATATATATATATATATATATATACATAGAAAGAA